CAAAGTAAAGCGGAGTTTTGCTAAACCACCGAGTTTCACCAATAACGTTAGCACCTCTGTCAAGTAACATCTTAACTCCGTTTACATGTCCTTTTTGAACAGCAAGACACAGTGGTGAAATACCTAAAAAAGAAGAGATGTATGTAGAATTAACTCTCTAATTAAACTTAATGTTCAAAAAGATGTTCATCAATCTGTAAATATCTTTTCTCATCTGCAATATAAAGGTATACCGTATTTATCACTAGCATTAACGTTAGCTCCATGAGTTAATAGTAATTCAGCAATTTCCATTTCCTCATAGTTAATAGCATTATGAAGCGGAGTTGTGCCGCGCGCGCGCGCGCGCGCGCGTCCCAAGTTTCAGCATTAACGTTAGCACCTCTGTCTATGAGCATCTTAACACCATCTACATGTCCACTTTTAATAGCAAAATATAGTGGTGTAACACCTGGAGTAAAGGAAGAGATATATGTAGAATTAACTCTCCAATGAAACTTAATGTTCTAACGCCCGTTTTCATCATCTTCGATTAACTTAATCGGCCGATTATTCCATTGGAACTGCCAGTCGCTTCAATCTTTTAGCAGAACGGACCAACACGATTGATACTTAATCGCCGATCAAGTTAATCGGAGATGGTAAAAACAGGCGTAAAAGATGTTCATCAATCTGTAAATATCTTTTCTCAGCTGCAATATAAAGGTATACCGTCTCTATCACTGGCATTAACGATAGCTCCATAATTTAAAAGTACTTCAGCAAGTTTCATATTTTCATTTTTAATCGCAGTGTGAAGCGGATGTGTGCCACACACACACACACACACACACACACACATCTCGAGTTTCAGCATTAACGTTAGCACCTTTGTCCATGAGCATCTTAACACCATCTACATGTCCTTGTTGAACAGCAAGACACAAAGGTGTAACACCTGGTGTAATGGAATAGATATATGTAAAATTAATATACACTCCATGTTTTAAAAAATGATCCTTAATCTGTAAATATCGTTTCTCAGCTGCAATAGAAAGTTATACCTGACTTATCACTGGCATTAATGTTAGCTCCATGATTGAAAAGTAATTCAGCAATTTCTAATTTCTCATGGTGAATCGCATAGTGAAGCGGAGTTGTGCCCGACCACCAAGTTTCAGTATTAACGTTAGCACTTCTATCTATGAGCATCTTAACACCATCTACATATCCTTTTTGAACAGCAAGACATAGTGGTGTAACACTCCCTAAAAAGGAAAAGATGTATGTAGAATTAACTCTCCAAATAAACTTAATGTTCTAAAAGATGTTCATCAATCTTTAAATATCTTTTCTCAGCTGCAATATAAAGTTATACNTAATTTATCACTGGCATTAATGTTAGCACCATGATTTAAAAGTAATTCAGCAATTTCTATTTCCTTATTTTCAATCGCATCGTGAAGCGGAGTCCTGTTATATATATACCGAGTTTCAGCATTAACGTTAGCAAGTCTGTCCATAAGCATCTTAACACCATCTACATGTTTTCCTGTAACACCAGAAGACAGTCTATGTAATGGGTGTAATTGTGACCTGTGACTTCTGACTATAACAGGTGTTTCATATGTTACTAGAGCAAGACACATTGGTTTAACACATAAAAACGAAGAAATATATGTAGAATTAATTTTCCAATTAAACTATATGAATTAAAAGATGTTCATCAATCTGTAAATATC